AACGGCGGCGTGTGGGCGTCTCACGCGCCCGACGATGAATCTGGCGTTTGGACGCCTCGCCGGTGCTTTTTCCAGCGTCTTACTCAGAATTTAATTCTCTTTCCGACGGTATATTCAGTTGTGTCATCTGAGCATTATTTCATGATCTTCTTATTTTCCTTGTTTCGGATTCGATTCGGTTTTCCGTGCTCTTCTGTTGATTCGTTTTTTTTTTGCGATATTATCTGTTCTCGGTAAATTTTTTTGTATATGGTATGGAAAAGATGGATTTTCAGGTTCCAATAAATATTATCTTGTCTGAAGATGATTATAGTTTGTGGGCGCAGTCGATGAAAAGTTTTCTAATCGGCAGAAAATTATGGCGGATAGTTATAGGGGATATAATTGTTCCCATTGCTCCCCTTCATATCAGAGAAGCTGTGCCCACCACTAAAACTCTCGAATCATACATTAAAAAATTGGAGGATTGGGACAGTAAGAACCATCAGATTCTTACCTAGCTGCGCAATACATCTATTCCGGCGATACAAGTGCAGCTTGCCCAATTTGGAACTGCTAGGGCCACTTGGTATTTCTTGGCAGCCTGCTTCCGTGCTACTGGTTTGGCGTATTTTTATCAGCTTTGGAGTACACTCCATGGACTAAAAAAGGAACCAGGAAAATATTTCAACGACCCATTGCTCAAGTGCAACCTATTTGGCATCGGTTGGATCAGACTGAAATCAGTCATGATCATCTCTACCTTATTCAGATTTTGATGGCTCTGCGTCCAAAGTATGAGGCATTTCGTGCCTCCCTACTACATCGGCACCCATTCCCTACGTTGGATGCAGCTATTCAAGAGATTCTCTTTGAAGAAACACGTCTTCACCTGGCTAATGGTCCCTCGCCTGATTATGCTCTCGCTGTCACCACCGGGAACCCTAGTCAGAGTTGTCAACTCCACTTCAAGCAATGTCAGTCCTCTGATCATGACTTTGGTCATTGCCCCAAGGTCGAGTGTCATTACTGCCATGTTTTAGGACATACTATACAATATTGCCCTACAAGGCCGTCTCGTCCTAGCAGCACTACTTCCAAGCCTCGGCATACTCGGGGCCTTCCCCACTCTAATACCTAATTTTTCACAGTCTCTGTCACGTCTGCGCATGCGCCTTCTACGATTTAGGACTTGGAAGCTCTTCTTAAACTGGTTATCTCTTCCAATACCGCAATGTCTACCACATCAGAAAATCCTATATTGTATTTTGTTTATGCTTACAGTAACCATATGATCTCTCATATAAACCTTATGACTTCTACATCCACTGCTTCATCCCTACCCCCTATCCTTACTGCCAATGGTACTCATATGCGCATTAGCTACACCGGCTCTGTGTCCACCCCGTTCTTATCCCTCACTGACACCTATTGTATTCCCCAACTAACCTTAAACTTAGTCTCAGTTGGTCAATTAATCGATCAAGGTCTTACTGTGATCTTATTTTCTTCTGGTGTACAAGTTCAGAATGTGCAAACTAGGAGGATAATCGGGAAGACTTCCAGCCGCTTATTTGAGCTTGAGTCACTTCAGCTCCCATGTCCCTCTATTTCTGCCGCCACCGCCTCTACACCATCCTGCCTTCAGTGACATTGTCGTCTCATTCATGCGTCCTCCAATAAACTCAGGCATTTGATTAGTCAGGGTCTTTTGGGTTCTGTTAGTTTTTAGTCCTTTAATTATGTCGATTGTTCATTGGGAAAACAATCTGCTTTGTCATTCCCTTATAGTATTTCTGTAGTGGATAAACCATTTTCACTAATACACTATGATATTTAGGGACCCTCACCCACTGCCTCTATGAATGGTTCTCGTTATTTTGTGATTTTTATTGATAATTATTCACGCTTTATATGGATTTATTTTATGCGACAACGTTTTGAACTCTCCTCTATTTATATGGACTTTACTAAAATGATACATACCAGTTTTCATCCATCATAAAGACCCTCCGCACATATAATGGTCTTGAGTATAAAGATTCTTCCTTCATTCATTTTCTCTCTGATCAGGGTACCGTTGTCCAGCATTCCAGTCCGTATACCTCTCCACAAAATGGTCATTCCGAACGTAAATATCGTCATATTCTCGATACAGTCCGCTCTCTTCTTTTATCTGCCTCTTGTCCAGATCGTTTTTGGGGGGAAGCTGCGTTTACTGCTATGTACAATATAAATCGTCTCCCTTCCTCTGTCATGGATAATGTCAGTCCCTTTGAAAGACTATTAAATCGAGCTTCTAATTATAGTCTTCTTCGCCCATTTGGTTGTGTCAATTTCTTTCTTCTTCCTCCTTATGAGCGCACTAAGTTAGAACAGTGCATGCGTCTGTGTTGTTTCCTGGGATACGAGTTAGAGCATAAGGGTTATCGTTGTTGGAATCCTTTTTCCAATAGGTTACGTATTTCTCACCATGCCACATTTTGGAAACATACTAAGTTTTCGTCCTTATCTCACTTTCGAGTTCCTTTTGATCATTCGTCACCATTCTTTACCTTAACCTCTCTACCTCTATTTCCTCCCAGTGATGCGGCTCTGTCTCCTGCTCCCGACACCGCCCTGGTTGCGCCTCCTGAACCAACGCTGGTCCCCGAACCTGTTGCCACTCCCGAACCTAATCCCTTACCACTACCAGAGTCTGACATTACTTCGACCTTGGACCCTGATCCTAGCCCTCGCCGTTCTACTCGGGTTAGTCATCTCCTTACTCACTTATTTGATTATTTTTGCTTCTCTGCCACCTTTTCCCACAATGAGCCCAGGTCCTTTCTTGAAGCGTATACGGATCCGTTGTGGCGGTAGGCTATGTCTGAGGAGTTACAGGCTTTGAAGAAAACTCATACGTGGGATATGGTTAATCTTCCCCCTATGAAGAAACCTATCGGTTGTAAGTGGATATTCCGGATCAAAACACACTCTGATGGATCCATCGAGTGCTACAAGACTCGTTTAGTAGCTAACGGCTACACCCAAGAGTACGGTATCGACTATGAGGAGACTTCTGCTCCGGTTGCTCGTCTTACCTCCGTCCGCTTTCTCATTGCTATTGCTGCCGCTCGTCAGTGGCCCTTGCATCAGCTCGACGTCAGTAATATTTTTTTGCATGGTGATCTATCCGGGGACATACATATGTCTCCTCATCTAGGTTTTCCTACGTCCTCCAAGATATGCAAACTTTGTTGTGCTTTGTATGGTCTTAAACAGGCGCCCTGAGCTTGGTTTTCGAAATTTAGCTCTGCTCTGCTCCAGCTTGGCTTTACTTCCAGCTATCATGACTCTGCTCTCTTCATTCGTCGTAGGTCCGCTGAAGTTACTATTTTGCTACTTTATGTGGATGACATGATCATCACCCGTGATGATCAATCCGATATATCTGAGCTGTAGGATCATCACACTGTCACTTTGAGATGAAGAGCTTAGGGCCTCTGTGGTATCTCATCGGTCTTGAGATCTCCGACACCTCCGACGGATATTATCTATCTCAAGCTAAGTTTGCCTCCGACGGATATTATTTATCTCAAGCCAAGTATGCCTCCGACGTTCTGTCCAGAGCGGGTTTCACTGACTCCAAGACCATTCCTACGCCTCTTGATTCTGACTGTCGTCTTACTCCAATGGATGGCGCCCCTCTTGACGATCATACCCTATATCGTCAACTGGTGAGAAGCCTAATCTACCTGAATGTTACTTGACCTGACATTGCTTATGCTGTTCATGTTGTCAGTTATTTTATGTCTGCTCCTCGGATGACTTATTATTCTGTTGTTCTACGGATTCTTTGGTACATCAAAGGCACTCTCCTTCATGGTCTTTACTATTCAGCGGATTCGTCTTTGGTTTTAACTGGGTATTCTGATACTGATTGGGCGGGAGACCCCACCGATCACCACTTGACCACTGATTTCTGTTTTTTTTTTCTTGGCAATTCACTTATTTCTTGGGGCAGCAAAAAATAAATGGTCGTCTCTTGGTCCAGTGCGGAGTCCGAATATAGAGCTCTCGCCGATACCACTGCTGAGCTACTATGGCTTCGTTGGTTGTTGGTTGATCTCGGTGTGCCTCAGTCCTCCACTATTATTGTTCATTGCGACAGTTAGAGCGTCATGAAAATTTCGACGAATGATGTTTTCAATGAGCGTACGAAAGCACATTGAGATCGACTATTACCTTATTCTTCATCACGTTGCTCACAACGTCTCTTTGTCGCTCATCTCTTCTGCTGATCAGACTGCCGATTACTTCACCAAGCCCCATCTTTCAAACCGTTTTCAGTTGTTTTTGAGCAAACTCAAGTTGGGTTTCACGGTCCTACCTTGAGTTTGAGAGAGAATATTGATATATTGATATATATTGTATATATATATTTATTTATTTATGTATATAGCCCGGTCCATATCCCATGCATATATATAACGATGTACCATAATTATTATTTCGAAAAATTCGGATTATACCAATTATTCCAACATATAAAAAAAAAAAATGTCATCGCATAATAGATGGTAAAATCAGTTTGATCTTATTGTTAAGATTGTCCTCCGTGATATTCTAGAGCTTCTATAAGGTTCTGTAATACTTTTTATACATAAATTCTAGTGCTTCATCCATTTCATAAAAATGTGTTTAAAACTTCGTACAGATTTTAATGGGTGAGATATTCTTTGATTTTTTTATTTTTTTATTTTTTTTTTGTACTTTCTATCTTTTATAATAAAAAATAATATAACTTTTTATTAAAAAAATAAAATATAAATATTTTTAGGAGACAAATTAAAAATGAAAATGAACACATTCTTATGAGAGAGGGAGGGAGTATTATCTATATGCTTCTCAAAAATAATTTAAGATTCCGAAGAAGAATTCCTTTAACCCAGACGGTCATATATTACATTACTTATTTCAGCCATGCTCCATTAATGTATAAAAATTTAAAACAAATATAAGAAAAAAACCATAAAACTTTGTCATATATATTTGCTTGGATTTACATGTATAGTATATAAAATAAAAATAAAAAAATTACAAATCTCAACGAAATTTCGAAACCTTAACGCAATCTCTGTTTTTTCTTTTTTTTTTCAAAAAAACTCAATCTGTGTAGTAATCAACGTAAGTATAATAATTCTGATTAGAATTTAATTTATTCTTACTAACAACCTTAACCCTCATCAGATCCCTCAGCCTCTTCCACAGGCAGCGCCGCCGTCCGCCGCCGACGCCACTCCGTTTCACCGCCAGCCCACGAATCTCCGGCGGCCGGTAAGTCTGAATCAACGGCCATTTTATCCCGTCGAAGAAAGGGTGGCGCTTAATCTCAGTCGCACCCGCGGCGGAGCCCAGACGCCGCCGGGGGTCCTTCACCAGCAGCTTCTCGATCAAGTCCCGGGCCTCCGAAGTCCCGGACTCCTCCTCGGCGGAAGGGCCCGGGAACCGCACTCCCCTCGTCGACGCTATGTTCCGCAGCGTCGATTCCTTACTCACCCCCTTAAACGGCGTCGTACCGTACAGCAGCTCGTAGATTAAGACTCCGAAAGCCCACCAGTCGACGGCGTTGCCGTGGCCATTTCCGGCGACCAATTCCGGCGCCAGATACTCGTGCGTCCCCACGCACGACCGCGAGTACGCCGCCGTGGGCTCCGCCGTGAATTCCGCCACGCGCTCCTCGCGGCGGCGCGTGCGCGTCACGCCGAGAAAGCAGGAGGAGGAGTGGCGCTGGACCGGCTCCGCCGGTCGCCGGCGGCGGCGGTCGATCCGCGGCGAGATTTCCGATCGGAAGCAGAGGTCGAAATCGGAGAGCAGAATGTGGCCGTCGGCGCGTATCAGAACATTCTCCGGCTTGAGATCACGGTAGACGATTCCCTGCGCGTGGAGGTACTCGAGCGCCGTGAGGACCTCGCCGGCGAAGAATCTGACCGCCGCGACCGGTAGCCGGTTAAGGGGCTGTTTGGCGAGCAAAGAATGGAGATCGCCGTTTGGGCAGAAATCCATCAACAGGCAAATGTAGTGAGAAGCTTCTAGATGGGCGTAGAGCGTCGGCAGGAACGGGTGGTCGGCGGCGGCGAGGACAGCGGCCTCCATCTCCACCTGGGCGAGCTTTTTCGCCGGCAGGGCGTCGCGGTCGACAACTTTGAGGGCGAAGTCCGCGCCGTCGTAGTCGCGGAGGCGGCAGTGGAAGACGCGGCCGAGGTTTCCGGCGCCGACGAGGCGGAGGAGTTTCAGGTGGCGGAGGTGGAGGGCGCCGTCGGAGGAGAGGTTCGCGGCGGCGCTGACGGCTTCCCAGTTGGGGTTGTTGTGGCGGCGGTGGGGGCGGCGGTGGGGGATCGGAACGGCGGTGGTGGAGGAGGTCGCGGCGGCGTTGGAAAGTCGGGACTCGTTGAAGCTGAGGGTGAGGCTGGTGCGAGCCAAGCTGCTCCTGGCGGAGATGGTGGTCCGGTCGGTGGTGGCGGTGGCGACGGAGGAGAAGCTGAAATCGAGGTCGGAATTGTAGACAGGATCGTCGATTAGTTCCATGGCTGTTATGGTCTGCTGCCATTGTTGGATCAGTTTCTGCATATTTATACAGCAGGACCATCGGTAGGGGTGAGTGATTGGGTCTGGTCCCGGGATCTTTACTCCAGAGTAGGATTTGAGTTAGATCTTGTTCTACGGACGGTTTGGATTGGCTAGGGTGTTTCAGTCCGGGGCCCGGTACATGAAAGAAATAATAATTAATGTTAAGAACGTGTTTGGTTGTGACAACAGCGTATTTAATGGAAGGTCAGAACGAATTAGAACCCAATGTAATTTTATACAGACGCTAATATTTTATTATTTTATAGTGTATGAGGAATAATTACTTGTAATATTTTATTATGCCTTTGAAAATTATATAATATATATATTATATTTATTGATTAAGAAATGATTAATACAATGCTGGCAATTATACAATACACGTAAATATATGTAAAGAGAACATGGTAATATAAATTTATAGTATAAATAATACTAATATATAATACAAACTCATAAACTAAGACTTTGTTCATATTCTTTTTAAAAAATATTAATATATTAACAACATTTTTTATTTTTATATTAGTTATACAATACTTTATATCTTACATAAACATTATCAAAATACAAAACAAACACATCCTAATAATATAATAATATATGACAATAGTTCACAAAATAGATGTTCCCTTCGTCCCAATACAATAGTCTTGTTTACTATTTTTGTCTGTCTTAAAACAATAGTCTTATAATTATCCTTATTTTTTTATTATTATTACACAATTATCACTATCTTTTACATCGGTACACTCACAAGAATAAAAATGTCTTTTACCTATACTTTTTACCCACTATCAATATAATATCAATATTTCATAAATATCGTGTCCAACAAAATCAAGACTATAGTTTCAGGACAGAGGGAATATTATAATAAATTTTAACATATACTCCCTCCATCCACAAACTAACTTCCTACTTTACTATTTAGAATGTCCAACAATTATTGTCATCTTTCTATTTTTATACACAAAATTTACTCTTTTATCCTTACTTTATTTACTCTTTTATTTTCTATACACAAGATTAAGGTCAAATTTGTCATTTTATAACAAAAATCTTAATTGCCTAAAAATATGTGTAAATATCAAATAAGACATTAGAAAATGGACGGAATGAGTAATATATATTAACATAGTACATATAACATAATAATTAATTTAGATAATATGTATTGAATGAATTTAGGTAAAAATAATTTTATCTAAATGATAAAATATTTTTAATTGTCATAAAAATATACTCCCTCCCCTTCCATCCTTAACAATCTATCCATTTTTTTATTTTGGTCCGTTTCATAACAAAGTATCTATTTCTTTTTTTTTTTTTTTTTTAATAATTGTACTATCTATCTTACATTACAAATATCTTTTCAATTTACAATATATTACACAAATGTCATTACCTTTATATCATACAATACTAATAGTGTTAATGTCTTTATACCTTTATTTCTATTTTATCTCAATATAATACTAATATTTTTAAATCTCCATACAAAAAACAAATAAATATATAAATATGAAACAAAAAGAATATATTATTTTATGTTTTAAAAAGAAAAGGTTCAAAATCATTTTACATAATTTTTATTAATTAATAAAATATTATTAATTTTAATCTAATAAATTAGTAGATCGAGGTAGAATGTAATAATAATAATAAAGATAAAATGGGAATATGATAGATTGAATCTAATTAGTACTTGCATTACATTAGATATATATTATTACATGGAAAGTTGTGACATCCACACGCTAATTAATTCACTTTATTGGTTTCATTAGTCAACACTAATTTATTTCTTTTATTTTAAATAGGAAAAAGTCCACTTACATTCTCACCTAAGTACATGATTCAAATCTATTGTCAAAATTCCCTCCGCCTCAAATCTATCTATCTGTTTATTTTTTTTTATATGGTATTTTAAAAATATTAATACTATATTCGAATATAAAAAAAATTAAATAGAAATAACTAAAATAATTTTATTAATATTGTCTTAATTGTGATATAAAGATAATGATATTTTGGTAATATATTATAAGTTGTAATGTTAGATAGATAATACAATTACTTAAAAAAAAAAAATTTTGTTATGGACGAACCAAAACGAAAAGATGAACAATTTATTAATGGACTGAGGGAGTATTTTATACTCTTTCCCTCTCGCATATAAATGTATTCACTTCGTCTCGATGCAAGATTGCCGTTTATTTTAGCAAATTTTTTAATATTAGTATTATAATGGATTGTAGTGAAAAAGGCGAAAATACGCCTATTAGTATTGTATAATATAAAACTAATGACATTTGTGTAATATAGTATAAGTTAGAAGAATATTTATTATATTAAGTAGGTAATACAATTACTAAATTATGAAATTATAATTTTATTTTAGGACGAAGAGAGTATATATTTTGATATTTTCGTTGTTTTCATAGTAAACTAGTAATGTATACAATTTTTTTTTTTTTAATAATTATTAACCTCATAATTCGAAATAAATATTCTTATTTTCTTACATTGTGGTATTTTATAATTACTTTTCTATTAAAAAATGATGATAAATTTTTACACTACTTTCAATTACTTACTGCGACTAAATTATTTATATTTTCTAAACACTGAACAAAAAACTGTATATTTTATGCCATGACCAAGGGAGTATTACATTTGTTTACTTATGATGCATTTCTTCGAATTTAATTTAAATTTGACATTAAAATAATATTTGATATAATATTTTGTGATTTTTTTTTTCAAAAAATATATGTAATCCAAATAAAATTTAAAAAACTTTTGATAAAGAAACACACTATCATTTTATTTTTTTTTGCAAATTAGAAAACAACACTTATTTTCAAATAATACGCAAATAGCACAATATTGTGTTATTTGAAAATATTTATTGTCTATTTATATTTAAAAATATATTGTATGAATATATACGATAATATATGCTGTATAAATTATAATCACGTATTATTAGTTCATATTCTACATTGTATAATATTAACATAAATTAGATACTATTTATCATTATATCATATATTGGTTATCATAATATGATATGTTTGACGATTTTTAATAAAAATATACTTCTTCCATCTCAAACACCCTAAAATATTTCATTTTTGGTATATCTTAAACACCCTGCAATATTTCCAAAATAGGAAATAATTAGTTATACTCTCACATCATCCAAATAAAAAAATAAAATATATATTTCTTTCTCTATCACATCACCCAATTTATAAATTATCCTACCTAATACTACCCACTTGAAAACTCGTGCCAAAAGTAAATGTTGCACCTTGTTTGGGACGGAGAGAGTACTATTTTTATGATATTGTAGGCAGATTTAGTGCTTTTTTTTTTTTTTCTTTTTAACTTTATAATTATTAGTTTTGAATTTTTAATACTATATATACTGTGGCTCGCCGAGGACACGTATCCGCCAGGTCAGCGACACCTGACGGATATGTGGATTTTTATATATATATTTTTAATTTTTAACCTTTTTTTTTTAATTTTTAATTTTCAATTATTTTTGAAATATTTTAATTTATTTTTAAAAAAGACAAAATAAATATATTATTATTTTTTTTCAATTTCTTTTTTAAAAATCTACGTGCCCGTCCGGTGTTACTGACCTGGCGGATATATGTCATCCGGTGAGCCACGCTGGTGCCACGTTGGCATCTCTGGCGCCGGAGGACTAAAAGTGCAAAAATTTTTCACTTACGAGACTAATTTGTGACAGACTCTACCTACGGGACTAAATGATAAAAAAATTCAATTACAGAACTAAAAAAATCAGTTTACCCTAAACAATATTAAAATTTTATCATAAAAAAGTATAATGAAAAAAAAAAAAAAAAAATTCACAAGAAAATATCTTTTAATCATATTGAAAAATTTTATGATACATATATTAAAATTTATTACCATGTTTGTTAACAAAGTTAATATCCTGTACAGATATTTACTTTAATCAGTCAAATGCTTAATTCACACAATTTATTGCACTACTATTTTATTGATCTAGTTGTTAATTGTAATTTATATTAAACTGTATAACTTGTATATATTGTAAATTTCATATTTATTATACATAAATTTTAATATGATATTTTATTCTTCGTCCACTCACAATATATACATATTTCTATTGTGAATTGTTTAATTACAGTAACCATTTATTTATTTAGTATACTATGAACTTCATTGCTTTTTTACTAATAACTTTTACTTTACCGTAACATCATTATTTTTATACCAAAAGTAAAGACAAAATTATTTTTACAGTACTTTTCACTATTCATTACAATTAAAATATTATTATGTTTTAAACTCCGCGCCAAAAATAAATGTTACATTTCAAAATGGACGGAGCGAGTGTCTGATATAAATTTTTCGAAATGAAAAGAAATTGAAATATCAAATTTTAATTATATGTTGGAAATGGGTTCACCGACATAAAATAGGTCCAACACTTCCGAGTTCAATGCACAACAAAACTATGATTTTTTTCGAGATAAACACAGTTTTATAGCGTGGTTATTGCGTGATTATAGCTTCATTGTGTTAATCAAACAATAACCTATGATTGGATGAGTGCAAAGACAAAAATAAACAATACAATGATTTGTTGATTCAATTCGGTATAAATCTCTACATTTTGAGGATTCCAATCAATGAATATTTTTATCGGGTTCACACACTTAAGACACCCCAACAAACACTACAACCTATCCTCGTAAATAAACTCTTCTTGTTTTACAAATAAATGCGGACGGATTATTACATAACCGTAACAACACCGGTAGACATAGACATTACAAGACTATGTAAGCACTCCTCTTCTCTAATGAGTATCAAATGGTGAAAAATTGACTGAAAAACTCAACAAAATCTTATTGCACACTTTTATTATACCAATAATATATCCGCTCTCCGTCCCTATCAAGATGATCCATTTACTTAAGGATACGGTATTTTAGGTAGTGTAGATTAGTAAGTTATTAATAATAAATTATAATATTATTTTATATTTTTATATGAGTAGTGTTGTGGGTATTTTAAATATTTTTAACATTATAAATCAATAAAATATATACGATA